GGCACTGAGAAATGACCAGAGGATTTGGTAATATGGAGATTGTCGATGACTGCAATACATATGCTTCCAAGGAGATGGGTGTGAGAGAGAAGGGCAGGTAAGGCAGAGAGGGAACTTGGGCAATTCCTTTGAGCAAATATTGTGCCAGAAAATTAGGGACCCACAGAGATTTTTTTGAATGGGAGCTATTGCAACATGTTTTTTGATCATGCAAGCAAAGAGAGAAAATGTGGGGCGGGGGGACAGGTCTTGTCTCTTGGAAAGCCTGAGAGTAAGCAAGAGGGGCCAGGGTAGGGGACAGGTAGAGAGGCCTTAGCCAAGAGCATCAACAATCTGTCTGGAACAACAGAGGCAGGGTGTGTAGGTGGACAGGGGTGGTGACAGGAGCCTGCAGATGGTCTTATCTGATGACTTCTGTTTCCTCAGTGATATACAAAGCCACAGCAGCAGCTAAGAGGGCGGCTGAGGGAGGAGGTGTTGGAGATTTAAAGTGAGAGGAGAAAGTGGGAAGTGGTTATCTAAGAGACTGTAAATGTAATGTCCCCCTTGACAATGATTATCAAGAACTTAAAGTGACACCTGTCAACATGGTTTTGTGAGGATTTTATTCGACTTGGGTACAAATCAGAGTAGGAAGAGAGTTGAGTTTGAATGGATGTGGGGAGCCAGGTGAGTATGTCAGAGGAAAGAGAGGAGCAAAGGGGATGAGGGTGACACAACACTGCTATGACGGTGGCTCTGGAGCTCAAGCCAGGGCAGGGGAGATGTGAGAATATGAGGGAGGTGCAGGGTGATGGGGTCAAACCTTGGAGATCCCAGTGGAGTCAAAGAATAGAAGTTAGAGAACTCTTCAAGGAATGCAGTGGAATGATACGAGGTGGTGTTCAAAGAGTAGCGTGCTTTTGAAGACATTGGGGTTCATGGTGGTGACCAGGCTTAGGAATGGCCTTGGGAGTATGGCTGAAATGAAGCAGAAGTAAGATCAAGTGGGTGATGGCCTTGAGCAAAGGAGATGCCAGGTGCTGGTGGCTTGTCTACAGAAATACTCAAGCCACCAAGAGCAATGACCATAGTGGTACTGATAAACCATGAGTCAGGAGCCCAATCTTCAGTGAGTGGGGGGCAGGATCAGGAGAATGGAGGAGGTTTTAAGGAGATAGGGAACTTTAGGGAAGAAAGAAGAGCTGACCAGTCCAAGCTGCCTGGCTCACTTCTAGCCCCAGAAGAATGTAGAATTTGAGACTCAAAAGCAAACACCAGCCAACCCTTACCAGGAATTCTGGAAAGCAGTGTCCTGAGGGAAGTGGGATACAATCTTTGTACTCCAGTAACTCACATGGCCAGGCTACACCGCAGGATGCACCAGACATTAGTTCACATGTGTGTGCATGTACACACACGCGCACACACATACGCATACATGCTCACCACCCCAGGCCCTCTTTCTGGAAGATCTGTAACAGCAATTTTACTTATAAAGTTCCCATGCCTCTGGGAAGTAGGTAAAGGACTCAGGAATCAGAAACCCCCGTGGCTTCACTGCTGCCCCTTTAGCATCCTCCCAGGTGGCCAGTCTAGCCAGGGACATTCATTTCAGTCTAAAGATAGGAAAAATGACATTCAAAGAGTTAAGAGGTTCGGTAATAAGTGACTTAGCCAGGCTGATCCCTGGGACTCTGTCTCTTCCCACGCTTGTGGTCTTTGACTAACCAGTTCCTCCCATTCTCCCAAAGATCAGACTTACCCAGTGACACTTAAAAGTTCAGATTTCCGGGCCCTGCTCCTGGAGATACAGATTCAATAGCTACAGACATGGCCCAGGAATCCGCATTTTAATAGCCACCTGGGTGATTTTTTTCATGGCAGAAGTGTAGGATTTCTGCAGATCAATACACCATCCTCTCACAATTTCTGTTGCACCATTGAGAAAGTTCTCCCAATTTCCTAGCCTTGCCACTGGGCACCATGACAATGACCCATTGTCCTGCACCAATTACCCACCACTTCTCCACTGCAACTTATTAATTAAAAAGCCAGAGACCTAATTTCCCAGCCAGTGGATGGAATAAAAAGTTGATACCAATGCAGTGCTTGGGGGAGGGGCAATGTGTGGGGGCTACAGGCTTTGAGAAGATACTCATTGCACCTGTCACTTATTAGACTAAAGTTATTTAGCCCCTCCAAGGCTCAGTTTCCCCACCTATAGTGCGGTTATAATTCAGATCTACCTCAATGTTTTGCAAGGTTCAGAAATACTGTGTACAATATTTGTAAAACTAGAATGAATAAGGTAGCTGCTGGTAATAGAAGTAATAATCACAGGAATCACTGACTTCTGATTCCCTAATCTAGCTTTAATCATCGCAAACCAACCAAGGAGATCTGGCCCCAGGATTAGTGCCCATTGTCATGTCCATTATCAGTGCACCTGAGTGCGGCAAACCAGTTGCTAATGTTGGGAAACCCTAGAGAGGCAGTTCCAATCAATACATTAACATTTGCTTTGTCCTTGAGTCGCACGCCCTTGTTGACACAAGTGGCCATTAGAGAGTGATGAACAGCAGCAGAAGTAATGGACTGGAAGGAGGCGGCAGCACGCTGTGCTGGGCACTTGAGATGATAGTGTTTTAATCAATTGTGGGTGGTCATTAATGTCTGGATTAAAGTTGGGCTGCGATCTGAAGCATTAACACCCTCGGGCCCACCCTTGAAAACAGTGCAGGGTCCGAGTTCAATACAGAAATTTTTCTAAGGTCTCAAAATCTTCTCACTGATGCCATCAACAAGTGCCACTGTCATCAGGTATTTCACTATATGATTCATGCCTTGTGGTTGGGAAATGCCTGATACCCTTTCCTTTAGAGAGGAGGATAAGGCACACAGAACCATGCAATCAAGCTGATTCATCATTACGGGGCTTGAGTTAAAGTTCTGCTCCCGCAATTCTGACTTATAGCCATTTCTTCTCCTTTCTGGAAGTGATCAAGTTGCAAAGGAAAAGAAGGGCAGATTTGCTTGGGTCCTGCCTGCTTTTAAGGTGGCCGCTGTTTCAAACACTTATATTCTTTATCTCTAGATTGAAAAGAATAGCAATAAAGGGTTATATACATTATTGTTTGTTCAGGAAATGGGAAACTACATGGTCATTAAAAATGGTACTGGCGTGAGACCCTGAGTTCAAACCCCAATGCTGCCAAAATAAAAAAAGATACAGAAAGCTGATGCTGGGATCCCTGTTGCCAACCTGGAAATATTAAGCCACAAAATATTAAGTGAAAAAAAAAAGCAAGATATAAAACTGTAGTTCATGCTTGAAGGGAGGAAAATGTCAGCACGCATGAATGCACACACTCCAAAGTAGGGAAGGATACATACGAAATGTCCCCTCCGGTCATGTCCAAGTCAGGCTTCTCTCAGCACTGATGACATAACAATGCTGAAAACCTCTGTCCTGGGTGGGGGGATGGTGAGTATCTTTAATTCCCTTCTTTATGACTCCAAGTTTTCTTCATTTAATATATATTATTGTGTGATTTAAAAAATGGACCAGGTACAGTAGTTCACACCTGTAATCTCAGCTACTTGAAAGGCAGAGATCAGGAGAACTGCAGTTTAAGACCAGCCTGGGAAAAAAGTTAGTGAGACCCCATCTCATTCATAAGTTGAGCATGGTGGTACACATCTGTGATCTCAGCTGCATGGTAGGTATAGGGAGGATGACTGCTGTCTGAGTCTGGCTCTGAGCCAAAACGTGAGACCCTAGAAAAAATAACCAGCACTGTGTCCTCACTGTAAAGAACCCTCACTGTGGTGCGGAAGCAGCTGCCACAGACCCTCTCTCTCAGTGGCACTCTGGTTCTTTCCTTCTTGTACCAGGGCTGAAAGGCTAAGGGCCATGTTTTCCAAACCCTTGGGTCCCATAGAAGGGCCGACTCTCGATGAGCTGACACATCTGCAGCTGCTACACCTACCAGGTCTGAGGCAGGTGTGTCCAGGAGGCCCGGATTCACACCTGCCATCCCCCAGAAGGAGCCACTAAGCTTCCAAAACATCTTTTTTCTGTTGACAATTGAAATACACATGGGGAAAACTTTATTAGTCTGTTTGCTTTCTAAAATGCTGGGGACAAACTATCTACAGCAGTGTTGAAAAAGAATAAAATCCCTATGTAGAGAAAGGACCAGAAGAAAACACAACCACTAACAATGACTGTCCTTGAGTGTTGAAATCATGGGAGGACTTTTCTACCTTGTAGTGTTTCTGCATTTTTTTGCTGTGTTATAATTTTTAGAAACTTAATTTTCGTGGTACTGGGATTTGAACTCAGGACCCCACAGTTGCTAAGCAGGCACTCTACCACTTGAGCCACTCCACCAGCCCTGTTTTGCATTGGGTGTTGTCTAGATAGGGTCTTGCAAACTGTTTACCCAGGCTGGCTTTGAACCACATTCGTCCTTATCTCTGCCTCCTGAGTAGTTAGGATTACAGGTGTGAGGCATCAGTGCCTGGCTAGAAACTTAACTTTTTATAAGAACAGTCACTTGTCTCTGTAGAAGTGCAAACACGACAGTGTGGTCTCCTTGCTTGCACCTGTATGTCCCAGCATGGCTGCTCCTTGGGACAGGAAGACCTGCTTGCCCCAGTTTTTCTTCCCCCTTAGGACTCCTCTGCGTTTACCTTGTGTCTTGTCCTCCTTCCCCTCTTCAGTGTTGACTTTCACCCACACATCTTGTTTACCACCTAATTTCCTTCCTTCAAATCCTTCCTGAGATCCAATAATGGCAAATTATGAAATGATAATTAATTGTCATCATAATATAATAAACACAGGCAGAGATCTTGTAACTAGCTTGGTTTATTCTGCACCCTCCACCCCTATATGAAACAAATTTTGTCCTTTTCCATCTGGAGCAACAAAGCAATGAAATAAAGCAGGATTGAATGAAGTATCAAAAGGAAATACATCTTCAGTCATAAGACACAACTGGCCTCTCGGGTAGCTACAGCTTGCAGCCATCCAGCCAACGAGCCAGCGAGTCAGACAGCTGGCAGTTCTGGGACCAGGTGGGCCTGCAGAGGGGAATGTTAGAAAGAGTGGTCAGGAGGCTACTTAAAGTTAGAACAAAGCCCCCCCACACACACATCTCACACACACACACACACACACGCACGCACACACACACACACTCCCCGGGGGGCTCCACAGCCTAGGCAGCCCATCCAGGCCCCCTGCCTGGCTCCAGAGCATTCAAGTCTGTCACCCTGCTGTGGGCACACATCTGCAGACTTTTGAACATGTCAGCATCACACCCTGGCATGAATGCTGTGCTCTCTCTATCCTGGTGCCTGCACCACCCCCGCCACACACACAAACTCCACCCAGTTTCTGGATGCTGAACTGTGAACTATGAAATTCTCCCCAACCCTGCAAAGTATTATTGCTTCTCTGAAGTGAGTTTGGGAGTTTTGTGACTTGCTCAGGGTCATATGGTGTGTCCTTGGAAGACCCTGCCCCCTGGGCCAGGACCCCTTTCTCCTTTCCATGCACCTGCTTCTCCTCTCACCTTATGCAACTCCTTGCAACTCCTCAACCCCCCTCTGTCAGCAGACCGACTTTCTCTAACCTTTTCTCCTGGTACTCCTAAAAATGATTCCCCTATTCCCAGTTCCTGTACCAGCACCCAGACTCGGGTCCTATCCCCACTCTCAGGCACCAGGCCAGCTGCAGGCCCAGACCTCAGGCAGACTGGCCTCCCTGGGTCTTCCAGGGTTGGGGGATCCCACAGTAGGAGGAGGACCTATGGTTCCCTGGCTCCTCATAAATAGAAAGAAGCAGCAAATACACACACATCCATAGTTTCAGAATCACAGACAATGTAGGAGAGACTCCTGGTGGCTGTGGGGTTTTAGTCTTCCCCTTCCCTGTCCACCCAGCCCTGCAGAGCTGCTCAATCTGGGCTTTGGGAAAGACATGGCTGCCTGTTAACTTACTAATAGCTCAGGTCACTGGGAATTAGAACAAGCAGAAGGCCTAATCAGCTTGCCCTGCAATCTCTACATAGTGCCATGCGGCAACGATGACTATCGTTCATTAATGCTGACCCCAGAGGGTCAGCCAAGCTTGTTAATTAATTGCAAAGTCCAGAGCATGGGTGAAAGCCATTTCAAGTGCTCTGAAGACAGTTAACATTTATGAGAGGAGATTGCCACTTTAATATGCCATCCATTCAGCTAGTGGTGAAAGTGAATAAATGAATAGATGGTATTGAGACCTATGACTAGTCATTTGAAAAATATGAACGTTTGCAACACCTAACTCACTTTTCCTACCAAAAGAAATTCCAAGAGGGTTCAAAGTTTAAGCACAAACCCAAAAAAGTGTAACAATTCTATTTTTAAAATCTATTTAACAAAAACTTAATATAAAGCTTATCTTGTGCCAGTGCTAGTCTGATATATAAGAAAACATGGCTAAATTTCTTCATAATCTCAAGTAGGAGAGACTTTTCTAAGACAATTTCATATAAACCCAGAGGGCACAAAAGAAAAGATTGAGACATATGATTTTGTGAAACACGAAACTCATCTAAGATGAAAATACAATAAATTAAAATAAATACAAATAACAAACTTGAAAAATAACTCTCACAGATGTGCTAGACAAAGGTCCAATCATCCTAGTATATATAGAGCATGTAAAAATTTAACAAGAAGAAAACATTATCAACCAATAGGAAAATGGGCTAAGAATATGAACAAGTAAGTCACAGAAAATTGGCCAAAAACCATGTTTGTAGCTTAAAAATGCAAGGCAAAACAAAATAGTATCCTCTTATACTTCTCCATTTCCCCAGATTCTGTGTGTTTTTGCAGATTTCCAGGCTGCTGAGCAGAGGAAATGAAAGGTCCCTCATGGCGTGTGACAGGAGTCGCCTCTTTTCCAGAAGACCAATTTAGAAAAATATCTCCAACTTTTAAATGCACCAAATAGTGCCAGCAAATCCCCTGCAAGAGATTTCCCTAAGGATGCGTCTGAAAGAACACCAAAATCCTAAAAGCCTGATACATACAGTAGAATTCCTTGAAGCAGCAGCAGCAACAGTAAAATGGAAACAAGCTAAATGTCTTTGGATAGAGGACATGAAAGAACGGGCATACAATGGCCTGCAGCGTCCCTACAGCGGGGAACCAGACAGATCTTTAAGGATGTGCCAGGATTCGCCAGCTCTACTAATAAATGAAAAAGAGCAGGGTACATGTCAGTGTGTACTTTGGGATTCTCTGTGTGTTTTTAAATATTTGTGCATGTATTTTTCCCTAATTTATAAGACATATTAATATTGGTGAGCTTGAGGAGGGTGCCCAAAAAATGGGAAAAGTTTTATTTTAATTTTTAAAATAATTAATTAATTAAAAATGAAAATACTGGAATGCTTCTGGGTGGTGGCCCGGATGCTGTCTCAGTTTCTTAGTGAACATCTAGTAGGCTCCCTTTATGAGCCAAATGCAGAGCTAGACACAAGAAAAGTAAACAAAATCTTTGAATTCAGTTCGGAAATACCTTGAAGACACAGAAAAAAAGGATTGACATTTGATATTGACATCTCCTCCATGTCAGATTCAGGACAAGGTGTCTGTTACCTATAGGACCCACAGGTTCTGGAAGAAACACCTCCCAGTCTCCAGCACAGCAAGTCTATCTTCAGATCTGCTACCTCCCCACACCTGATCCTTCTCAGGAATTCTGGTCTGTACCCACAGGAGCAGTGGACAACCATTCTTGGTTGCTTTCACATGAGCAGAACACAAACCTCCTATACCTATCACCCCTCATCTGTTTGAGAGGCTTGTGGACAATGAGGATTGGAATAGCATAGTCCCAGGATTGGTCCTACTGCTGTGACCATGGAGAAGTTATCCTCCCTCTCTGTGCCCTGGTTTCCTAATTTTTACTCACTACGGTGAGAATTAAATTATGATATGCATTAAACAAACAAAGCCTACATGCTAAAGTAGTCAAGAAATTGTAGTTACCATTAAGGGAGTTCCTCTATTGTGAGATAATCTTCTATTGTAAGATACATCAGGATTTAAAAACAACTGCTGAGGGAGGACATTTTGATTGCAAAATAAATCTTATTTCCAGAAATATTAGGATCTGAAAATTGTACTGTCTAGAATTAAGAAAACAGAACATTATTTCTAGATCAAACTGGAGGCTATGATGCTCAGAATCAACCAGGCAGGCAATTATGAGATGTGGGACTGCAGGAAAAAAGGCATGGGAAGGTGGAAGTTGGTGGTGGTACCATGTCCACAGAATACAGTGGACTGACAATGCAAGCAGTATAGATGGCGGTAGTAGCAGGGGATGATGGGAATGGATTGGTTCAGCCAGTCAGATAGGACCAGACAGTCCTACTAGCAAAATCTCGAAACTGGAAATTGGGACAAAATATGTGCATACCAATGGACAGCTGAGAAAAGGATCTGACCATCACTACAAGTAACAGTGAGCAGAGATAAGAAAAAATCTGTATAAACTGTCTATCTGGCAAATACTGCATATGGGTACATCTGTCTGTATTCAAGGAAAGTTGGAGAAGACAGACTAACATGGTGGCTGCAGGGAAAGATTTTAAGAAGAAAAGGATGCATTATAAGGAAAGTCTTTTGATAACAACATGATGCACAATCTAGAAATAAGTTTCTTAAAGTTGATGTCTTCAATACAATATAACCAGACAACCTCTGGAAAAAAAACGTAGAAGAGAGATTTAAAAAAAAAAAACACAATAGTTTGAATTTTAAAAGGAAGATGGATAAGTTAACACAGAACTACAAGGAAACTAAAAATTAAAATCCAAATTCAAAATGTGTTCATGAGAAAATCCTTTGCCAAACTAGAAATTAATTTAACAACTATACACAACAATATGAGCAAGTAGAATGTTGGGTGAAAGAAGTCAGACACAGGCCCAATCACTTTTAAGTTTTAGAAGACTTTTCTATGCAAATATCTAGTTAAAGAAAAAATGAGAGATACGGTTGGGTTTTTTTGCAACAAATAAACAGCAATCAGTAATACAGCAAATATGTAAGAGCTCTTTCAAACAAATATGATGACTTGAATTTAAAAATAGGCAAAGGATGGGGACAGAAAAAAAAATCACAAAAGAGTCGGGTGCTCGTATGGATAATCCTAGCTAATCATGAGACAGAGATCAGAAGGAGGATCGAGGTTCAAAGCCAGCCTGGGCAAATAGTTGCAGAGATCCTATCTTGAAAAAAACCATCAGAGAAGAATATCAATATAAAACATACATAGGAGAAAGTACCCTAATTGTGCATCATAAAAAGAAAAAAGGTAAACTTGAAATTCGCCTTTCAAATGGCAAAGGTTCTGTGACTGGTGAAGGTATGATAAATAAGCATTTTATCATACCTATGCAAATGAATTGGCACAAGCGTAACAATTACAGGCACATGAATTAGTGCAAGCTTTCTGGAAAAGAATGTTACAATATGCACCAGGAACCTCAAAAGAATCCAAAAACTTTGTAGGAATTTATATGAAATCAATAATGAGATGTACACAGAAATTTATTTCTAGAATATTTATCCCGACATCCTATATATCCCAAACAAGGTCTGAAAAACAAGGTACAACTCAAAGTAATTCACCTGACAAGTATTTCCCCTTCTATGGCTCTAGAGTGGAGGAGCCCAGTCTTTTTCAGTCAATCCAGGGAGTAGGAGCCCAGTAGTTTGAGTCTCCACAATTTGACCAAGATCAAGATTAAAGTTGATGCAGGAAGCTATAAATACAAATGTGTTACTTACCATGCTCTCATCCCTTCTTTTTGTTTTACAATTTTCTTGACACATTCAATTGTCTCCTTTAAATCCGGGTTCAGTAAAGCTGTGGAGAAAATAAAGTGGAATGACACCCACCCCCACATGCCAGCTAATAGGGTGATGTCATGGAAGGGGAAGGTGCAGAGAATCACATGGAGGGGGGGCCTCCATGCTATTCCAAGACTAAGTCTATCCCTAGAGTGTTCTCAGGCAACAGTAGAAGGTAGGAAGATTGTAAGAAAATCAATGGATTTCTTACAATTTTATAATAATTTTTTGTTAAAGGCACGTGTGCATATTGAGTCTTCATCCTATAAGAAGCAATGGAGATGCGAGGACATGCATCCTTCCCCTGTCCCCAAAAACCCTCATTCTGGAAGGAAGCAACCTTCTTTGCTGTGTCACAGGCGACCTCAACACAATGAGGGAGTGCAGCTTTATTAGGAGAGCGCATGGTGGAATGCAGAACTGAAGAGTCAGGAAAGTGTGACTAGGACAAGTGACAGCTGGAGGATGTAAGGCAAGAGGATTGAGGGAGGCACAGGAGGAAAACTGCTGCAGGCACAGGGAATGGCACACGGGAGGGTCCAGCAGAGCCTCTGAGGAACTCACAGTCTGTGCACACATCTTTCCATTCCCTTCTTACAATGTGGACCCAAGACTGCAACTTCATGGGCTGGAGGCATGGGTCAAGCAGTAGAGTGCTTGCCTAGCAAGTGCAAAGCCCTGAGTTCAAACCTCACTACCACCAAAAAAAAAAAAAAAAAAAAAAAGAATAGGTCCCACTTGGGATTATTGCTGTACCCTCCTTCTTGCCTACACTATCTTCTCTTTCCCCAGGCCAGTCTGGTAACTGTTCCATAAAGCATTACTCCAGCCTGCCCTGGCTGCACACAGAACCCACATCCTTGCATTAGTCCAGTTGTGCCCCAGCATGCCTTTCTGTTCCTCAACCTTACTCCCCATTACTTTCCTCCATGACCCCATCATTCAAGCCAGGTCAAGGGCAGGAGTCAAAGACAGTGATCACTAATGTACGAGGCAGGCACTCCACTGCCTTGGGGCACAGGAAGCCCCTTCATCCTACACTTCATGCATCCCAACCTGGAATGCACTTCTACACACCGTAGTCCCCAAAAGTCCCCCACTGATGACCTCACTCACTGGGCAGTACCCCATTCTCCATGAAATCCACTTTGATCAGTCCTTACGTGCTGTAGGCAGACAGCCACACAAACAAGCATTCTGCTGAACTATAAATTCTTTGAACAAAAGAAACTGAACTCACCAAGCACCAGGCAGCACACTAGACACTGCCCTCACCACATCACACACTGTCTGTGTTGAAAACTTGTAAGAACCTGATGAGGGAGCCAGCTGTTGTTTCTACATCCATTTTACAGATAAGAAAACCAAGGCTCAAATCACACAACTTGTAAGAGACAGAGCCAAGATTCTGTGTGGCCCCAAAGCCAGTGCTCTCTCCCTTCCTCACCTTGCCACACAGGGAAAGCACAGGATTCCTCCTGAACCACCCAGAGTCTATGATACAGGGTCTAGACCCATCATCCCTTCCCCACACAGAGAAGCCCTCTACCGTCTCCATTTTCTGTGAAGGTCTGTAGTGTAACTCCTCACTGCTCAGTCTCTCTCTGCCTGGTGAGCCTTGTGCACTGCCCTGTAGAGAAGAGTGGCCACTCCAATCATCATTGCTTCAACCTCCCTCATTCACCTGGATTCTTGCTCCTCTTTTTATCCTCTGGGAATTTCATTCCTTCCTTGCCAACTCCAAATACTTTAAAAGATATTTGTTTTCTTTTCCTTTTTTACATTTTACCTGGTGGACGGGTTCTTTTCAGGATGTCAGGTATACCATATTTCCATTACAACACCTAGTAGATAAGAGGTTGTATATCTTTCCCATTAGATTCTGATTACATGTAACTATATTTTACATACACATCATATGATACATTACACATAACATATATTACACATAACATACAATACATGATCTATACACCATTATCATGCAACATGTATGTAACATTTATATATTATTGCACAGAGCATGTAATATTGTATGTGTAACATTGCATAGGTCTAACATGTTATGTGGTGTATGTGCACTATATTACGAATGTCCTGTGTAATATATTAAATGATATGTACATCACATTATCTGTTATATGTATATGTGCTATGTGCATTTTACAAATACATAGTATATATGTTGTATGTATTCTTATCAGATATAAATTTTGAACCTACTCTCCATTCTTCTTTTTCTTGGCTACCAGGAAATCCAGGGCAACACTGAAAGTTCATCACAGTAAATTATGCTTTTAATGTGTACATCTCCCTCCAACTAGACCGTGTCACTGTGGCTGACACAGCATTTTACACACCTTATCCCACTTGGTGTCCTCAGCAACCCTGAGAAGTAGTTCGTGTCCCTGTTTCACAGATGAGGAAACTCCAAGGATGAGGCTGGCACAAGCTCCCAAGAGAAACAGCTAGGATTACCCTGGTTCCCTGTCCTCTCCTCCTACTTTGCAACCCTGCTTTTCCCTTGAAGCCAGGAACTGTCTCACTCCTCTGTGAATCCCCAAGGCCAACCATGGGGCCAACCTACCATCTGGATCTTCCTCCCAACTCTATGACTTACCAACTGTGTGTGAGCCTTGCTCTATCTGGGTCTCAGTTTCCTTATGTACAGAATGGGGGTAATCCCAGAACCCTTCTTATGGGGGTTCATGTGGGTACTGAGTAAATTAATACCTGAAAGGGCTTAGGCAGTCAGCATGCACTAGGATGGCAGTTTCCCCAGGCCTAGTATCAGTGGGTGCTTAATAAATGCTCAAAGAACGAATGAGTGGATTCCGGAAGACAGTCTCCTCCTGATCACAGGTACTCAGGACCTCCTAAGAGGCAAGCTCCCCTGGAGATGGCCAGCTGTCTCCTCCCTGCCACTACCTCTGTCTTTCACAGTAGCAGTGTGTGTCCCCTTGAGGAAGGAAGTGGTGGCCAAGCATGGGTGACATCAGGTCCAAAGGTAGCCCTCTCCTTCCTCTCTTAAGGCTCCTTCCCCAGCATCCTAGCACTTTGTGCATCTGTCTGGACGTGGGCCTCCATCACTCCCTCCCAGGCCAGTGATCTGTGCTCACCACAGAGCCTTCTCACTGTCCACCCTGGCAGTGCAGCACTGGGTAGACCTCAGCCCAGCTCCCTCCTGCCTGCTCCATGGCTGTGGCCATGGAAGGTAGGCCCTGTAGCCTCCAGTCCCCCACATGGAGCAAAAGGAAGGGACCTACCAGAGCAGGACACAGCGCAGAGGTTCATGCCATGATCGCACCAGTCACTGTCACGAATCTGAAAGAGGCCGTAGCCAGTGTAGCCACGCTGCATGTTCTCGTAGACAGCAGAGGGATTGAACTTGCTCTCAAAATAAGCCAGGCACACCCCTAAGGTGGAACAGGAGGTGCGTGGTCTGAGAAAAGCTGGACTGAGCTTGCCGGGCAGGGGATGGAGGGGAAGGAGGTAAGGAAAGAAAGGCCAGGGGAAGGGCAATTCTACTCACAGTTTTCAAGGCTGTAGCCTTCAAAATAACTCAGGCCTCCGTCGTACAGCTTCTTGGCCACTGTGCAGCGCCCCAGGATGTAAGTATCACTTGGAACCACCAGGTAGCCAATGAGGGAGAGCATCATGGACGCCTTCATTCTGCAGGCTTCTGGAAACTCAGGACAATAGTCAGCAGGTGAGTAGACAATTCCTACCAAGACCACAGGGACACTGGTCTACTCAAGAGAAAAAGGGGCACTGGGTGGGGTGCAATGCAGTGCGTTTAGAAACAGAGCCTCAGGCTACCCATTATACTTCTTCTACCTGACTCTCAGCCTCAGGGCACTACCAACCTAGGGCACCTGAGGCCCCACCTCTGTTCTTTACCCTGACCTCTTCTTTTCTAAAAAAACTGCACTCTTGAAGTCCTCCCCCACCAACACACCCCAATTCTTTGTTCTTCCAGAAAACCCCACTGGTTTCATCTTGCTCATTTCACTCCAACTATAGACACGTACATCCAAGTTCTTTCTTCACCTTTATTGTGAGCTAGAACTTATTCATTAAATACATTTTGGAAAAGAGAACGAAGGAAAGTTCATCATGGTCCCACCATTAGAGTATAACCACTTCTGCCATATTGAATTTAGCCTAGAATGTGTTCCGAATTGTGGTCCGACCCTTCACACAGTCTCATTCCCAAATTTTCTACACTCCAAGCTCCACTGAGCTTCTCTGTGGCTGTCCACACAAGGAGACACCCCCAGATCCAGCCCAGACCTGCCCCCTAGTAGCTGGACAGCAGCAGAGGAGTCTGTGGCCTCACAATGACTTTGCTTCCTCATCTCCTGTGAGACGCTCAGGCAATTGACTCTTGACTTTTCCGTGTCTGTTTCTGCTGCCACCACCTAAACCTGTCACTTCATCACTGCAAGCCAAGTCACAGCCCCATCTTCTGATCTCTACCCCTCCAGGTCAACTTATGCTACTGGCATTTTCTTCCATACAACTGAGGAATGTCCGTGAAACCTGTACAAAATGTCACTTTGAGAACACTGCTAGTTCTCTATTCCTTTCCACAGCAAGCCTACACCACACACTTGGTTTTCCAAGCCTTCCATGACCCAGCTTTACCCTGCCCACCCTCCATCTGGTCAACTCAGAATTCTCACAGTGCTCCTTCTCTGGACCTCTCTACATCTCCCCATGCCACCCCCCAGCACCCATGTGACCTGCTAAGTCTTATGTTGGTTCCCTCATGCATGGGTCTTCTCCATCCACATGGCCCTACTGTGTCTTTCCCCACTCAAATGTTGTCTGCCTTCAGGTCTCCACCTGTTGCAACTCCCTGAAACCTGATGAATCCTCCATGAAAGTTCCTTTCCCCCTCTGAGCCTCTGTCCTCAGAGTCTCTTCCATGACACTGAGAGAGTGACTGTCCTGTGGTGAGCTAGGTCCCATCCCTCAAATGAGGAGATGCAATTGGAAATCAAGATGCATCTTCTTCCTGGCATGCCCCCACAGCCCTCAACACTCTGCTCAATGACACCAATGGACAGTCAAGTTGCAAACTCCTGAGAACCACCATTCCCACATGGGTTCACGTCCTCAGGTCAGATCTACCTACACTAGCGTTCTCAGACATGGAACGTGGTAGAAAATTTCTTGTCCTGGGCGTCGTTCTATGCCCTGGAAATCTGTAGGAGCACACCTGGCATCTAAATGCCAATGGTTCCACCCCTTCTGTTGTGACAAATACACTGTCCTCTGGGAAACAAAATTGCTTCCTGTTGAGAACCAATGACCTAGACTAAAGGTCTAAGTTGGGCACAAGTTAGAAATAAGAATATTCATGAATTAGAAGAATGGCATTTACAAACATTTTTTTAAAGCCTCAAACTGTATTACTAGCTGCAGGCATTTAAGAGCTCAGAGCTGGGCATGGTGGCTCATGTCTGTAATCCCAGCTACTAAAGAGGCAGAGATCAAGGGGATCACAGTTCTAAGACAGCTCCCGGCAAACACAAAAGACGCTACCTGAAAAATAACTAAAGCAAAAATTTCTGGGGTATGGCTCAAGTGGTAGAGCAGCTGCCTAGCAAGCACAAGGCCCTGAGTTCAAACCCCAGTATAGGAAAATTAAAACCAGCTTTGGCACTCAGATTGCTTGATTCAAATCCCAGCTTTACCCCTCAGGGGCTCAGAGGCCCCAGCAGTGATCCCAGTAACTTGATCGAGGAACTTGGACAAGTTCCTCAACCTCTCTGAGTCTCAGTTTCCTCATCCAGAGCAGAAATTAAAATGGTTCTTGCCTACTTGTATTGAAGAGCAAATGAGTTAGATATACAGAGCATCAGATATCCTGATGACATTTGCTTTCTATGAGCCCTGGTTGTACCCATCCTGGGTCCTAATTAATAACTGGATTTCTGTGCATAAAGGGAAGTCTGTGTTAACATTTCTCAACAACATTCTTAAGCACGTCTGTCTCTCAGGGGGCAGGCCCATCGCAGCTTACAAAAGGTATATTGAGTCCTCTCTCTCCCCTCTTCACCTGCAGCCAGTTCAACAGCAAGCCCTGTTGCTGTTCTTCCAAACCCTCCGGACCTCTCATCATCCCATCTGCCACCATCCTGGCCCAGGCATCCCCGCCTGTAACTAATTAGAGGATGCTGACTACATTCTCATCTGTTTCCCCAGACCCATTTCCCACACAGCAGCATAAAAGGCCTTTTTAGAAACACATGCCTGAGGCTGGGGGCAGGGCTCAAATGGTAGAGAGCCTGCCTAGCAAGTGTGAGGCCCTGAGTTCAAACCTCAGTAAGTACTGCCAAAAATACATGTCTGATCATATCTCTCCTCTCCAGGGGGTTCTCCCTTGTTCTTTAAATAGGGTCCAAAATCTTCTACCTGGCAAGTTCCCTTCTGGTCCAGCCCCTGAGCACGTCTGAAGTGTGATTCCACCGCTCCAGTTTGCCCTCACCACTGCCTTTCCTTTCATTGAACAATCTCTTTCCTACCAAACGCACTTTGCACCAGTCGCTTCTTCTGCCTGGGACATGGTTTCTTTAACCACCACATAGCTTGCTCTTTCTTGTGGTGGTCTCCACCAGGATGGGCTCACCACCTCAAAGAAGATACAGCCCATTACAGATCCTCTGTGCACAGTAGGTAGTCAGTGATTTGTTGTTGTTGTTGAGTGAATAAACAAACCCACTCTTCCAAACAAAATTGTCACAGATGAGCGATAAGTGAATTTGCTGACAAGTTCTCCAGCAATTGGGCATCATCCTGCCCCTCCCAGCTACTGCCCACCATATACTCACTTAGTTGCCCACCAAAGCTTCTGAAGTTCTGTGGTACTCAACGTTTGTGGCAGGACAGGTGCTCTACCTACGCTTGGCTCCCTGGATTCTTCAGATGCCTCTTCCTTAATAACCTATCTCCTTCACCCAACAGCTTCTAAACCACTGGTCCTCCGCAACTAACTCTTCTAGAATCTTCTTTCTATGACATCGGTTTCTGTGAACCAGAGTATTCTGAAAGAGGAGGAGTCTGTTACCATGCCATCTGTATTAGCTTTCTACTGCTGCTGTAACAAGTTACCACTAAGAGTCTGAAACAACACAATTTATTATTTTGTTTGTTTGAGGCAGGTTATGGAGCCTGGGCTGTCCTTAGTCTCTGTTCTTGCCTCCATCTCCCTAGTGCTGGAATTATAGGTACATGCCACCATTCCGCACACAAATTTCCAAAATAGGTCTCTCAGGGCTAAAATCAAGGTGTTAGCAGGGCTGGGATCCTTTCTGGGGTTCAAAGGAAGGAGCCACTCCCTGTTCACTTGGGCTGTTGGCAGAATGCAGTTCTTTGTAGCTGTAGGACTGGGACGGCCCATTTGCTTGCTGGCTGTCAGCTGTGGGCCAGTGCCAGTTGATGAAGGTTGTCTGCACTTCCTGGCTCTGCTCCCTTTCCTCTCTCTTTAAAGCCAGCAAGGATGGGTCAAAACCCTCCCATGCATGAATCAATCCTTCCATCTTCTTCCATCCTTGGGTCTCTGGACGATTCTTCTGTCTTCTCTTACACTTAAAAAGAACTCTTTTCACCAAACTGGTCTACCCAGATTGCAGGGTAATTTCTTCATTTCAAGTCCCTTGACCTTTGTCATCTCTGTAAAAGCCAGAGATGGCTTTGGGGATCCAGTACTGTGCCAGCCACAGCATTCCTCTGGGCCCCACAGGACCTCCTTCTAAGTGGAGCAGGAGGAGAGGAAGAGTCAGCTCTTCTGTTCACAGCTGCCCATGATCAAGAAGACCCTCTCTTGGGGCCTGGACAACCTCATCTGTGACATGAAAGCATCAGAGTGGGTTACTTTAAGATCTTTCTAGCTCCAAAAGTTAGGAGATGTGAAGATGATTGAAGGTAAATTGGCCTTCTGAAAACACAGAAGTACTTTTGGCTGACTCAGTTATGACTAGTAATTTGTTGATTAATCTAAAATGATCAAGTGGAGAATCACAAATTAAAAAGAAAAGCAACCATAAACACTGATACTTAGATTCATAAATGCATTTTTACCCCAACAGTCTTTAGTGTTGGTCTTTTCTTAAACATGAATTAGTGACTACAGCACTGTCTAGACATGTGTGAGTTATACTATGCTCTGTTTCATTTATAGTTTTGTTTGTTTATTTGGTGGTACTGGGGATTGAACTCAGGGCCTTGTAATTTTGCTAGTCAAATGCTCTGCCACTTGAGCCACATCCCCAGTTCATTTGCTTTTAGTTTGTTTTTCAAATAGGATCTCGTGCTTTTGCCTGGGCTGGCTTTGAACTTCCATCCTCCTGCCTCTGTCTCCCAAGTAGCTGGTATTACAGGCATGAGCCACCACAGCCAGTACTCATTCCTAGTCTCTGTATCTTTAAAATGAAGCAAGAACAGTTTTACTGGCAAAAAGTCATGCCTAATCATTTACGTATTCTCTAATGGCTGCTTTTGGCTACAGTGGGCAAAGGTGAGGCAGAACCAAAAAGGCCTGAGAAATCTAAAATATTCATTATCAGCCCTTTATCAAAATAATTTGCTGACTCCTGGAGCATGAACTTGACCATGATGTGACCCTGGGTTTGCATCCTGGTTTTGCCATTAACTGCCTGTGTGA